AAAATCCCAAAATTGATGCTCTCCTTCACATTATTCAAATCTGTCCAGTGGGCCGGATTAGAGTCTTGGCGGGGCCGATTCTGGACCCCGAACCTTATGTTTGACACCCCTGCTCTAGATGGCTTTAAGGCTGAAGCAGGCAGGCCTTACCCAGTTCAACACATTCTCTGGATTCAGAAGGACTTCATTCAGTGAAACGCGCTGAGCTGCTGCTCACAGCTGTATGGCCTCCAGAGAGTTGGCGGTAGATGGGGAGAAATGGTGAGATGTACCGTAGAACACTCGTCTCCACCTTCATTACTGAAGGCAAACAGCAGAGGATCGAGAAAAAGACCTCACAGACCGCTACAGCGCTGAATTATAGATGAGATCGGAGAAATAGAGGCACTCTGCAGGCTTTTCCCATCCTCTCACCTCAATCCGTGCTCAGTCACGCATGCATGCACGTTCACGTCTGCTGCACCTGAAGCGGTAATTCTTATCACTCACCTATCAGGTCCCCTCAGAGGCAGCACGCATTCACACCGCAGCTCGCTTCCCAATATTCATGTCCACCTAAACCCCAGCTCCATCATAACATGCAGTCGGCACATGCACACAACCTTTCTGAGGCTCTCACTGGGCTTGCATTATTGAAATCCATTTAGCACTCTGGCTTTCTCCTGAAGTCTCGCTCACCAAAGCAGTGACCCGTGAGCCGAGAGGAGACGAGTGGGATTTCCTGATTCTGCTGCCAAAGAGACGAGCGAAGAGGGGCTGCATTTAGCTACCTGCCAGCGTGTGCCTATGTAGGAAGTTTGAACGAGGAACGAAGTATAATTTATGGCAATATGAGTGAAGCAGTTTCCAAATATTAACCATTTTTAACCACAAGTGTACAAAAGTGGCAAAATCAGCCATACGGAAAAGAAATAGTAAAAACTTACATGATTTACTGATGAAAGTGGCCACTTTCGCATTACTTTCATATATTGTTTTAGTAAGTATCCAAAACATACAAGTTTCATTATATAATTTTTCAAGGGATCTTATATCTGTTCTCACACTTATATGCTTTTCATACAAGTTTCACACAAGACAGATACAAACTTTATAAGATTTATATATATCTTTTCCATATGGGCAAGTATGCTGAAAGTCATTTGTGGTGATCGAAACCTGTGTTAAGCTAACCAATGGGAGCTATTAAAAATAGTTTTTAGTTTCCATGACGGACATGGATGTTTTCAATACCACAGTCAACCTCAAAACTGATATGGACTCACATAGTGTGATGGTGACGAACTTCAGGTTTTACGACCTTGTGATAATCTCATGATTCAGTTTTATGATCCCACCTACCCTGAAATGACACTCCGGATGGTTGTTAAGCCAGATGGTTTGTTACGCAGAACTATGATTCTTGGAAAATGGCATGCAGTTCCACAAAATGATGATCCATAAGTAACATCTTTGTCCATCGACCGTTAGCTCGGAGCAATTGAATCAAGCAAGAGATCGGGGTAGAGCGCTCTGCGTTTTGGTCCAGGATTCGTGTTTTATTTGTAAATGTAAGAGGAACTGGCAGAAAGCCGCTTTGTCGGAGAGGTGACTCTACTGGCCAGCAGTCCCTCACTGGTCTAGACAACACTTTTTAAGCACAATCTGGAGCTGCAGGTGAGCTGTGTTCCAGAAGGGCTTCAGAGCTCATTTTTTTGGAGTCGCTGTGCAGAAAGTACAAAAACTGGCGTTTACAGCACGAGTACAACACGTACTGTTATGCTTCATGTGTAGACTGATATGGATTGAGTAAAGACAAGGGCGTATCTGCACCATCAGATTGACTGCAACGTGCATTTGAAACAACTTGTGCAAAGAGAAGTACTTTTCTCAGATTCTGCTCTTGCACATGAAAACTGTGCCTTTCATTTAAAATTAGAGACTCAAAGCAACGAAATGACTGACCAACAGCTTCAGTCATTCCCCGTGCATCAAGTGAGTAAAGAAATGCAAAAGTAAAATGGGCCGTGGGGTGACTTAAACCTTGGACTTGCTCAGAATCCCTCTAGTGCAGGACACTTGTTTGCTAATGGAGGAGCTACCTGTACGATAGGCGCCTCAGCAGGCATTAAAAGCAGGATCAAGAGAAGCTGTGATCAGCGGTGCGCAGCGACAGATTTACTGCGATACTCTGGGAGTAAGAGTGAGGCCAATAAAACTTTATGGGTGCTGTTTCATTTTAAAACTCTTCCATTTAGGAAGAAGTCGCTGCCTGATGCTTGAAAATCCACATCATTACAAGTATTTTTACTATTCTGTTTCAGTTTTCTGCCATTACTCCCACTGATAATGTGGTCACAAGACTTACAACAGGACTGTCTTGATAGCTCGAGCATTCCTTATGTGAATCTGCTTGGTGTCATTTTCAGCATCTTGATAATCCCCCGTCCACCCACATGATACTGATGCACTATTTTGATACTGACAGCTCTTCAGCCAATAACTTGGTATTGCAAATATTGCCCAAGGACACAATTAAGAAGTTTGGCAATTCCAGTTCGGCGCAATTAGGTGTTTGTTTTTTGTGAGAAGCACGTCTGCGGCTGACAGTTGAGACCCTTAACTAAAGACGCTCTGATTGGGCTGTGCTTCTGATTGTTTGGTTGGGAGCTGGTCTCACTAACTGCTGCACCCAAGGTGCTTTGTTTTGTTTTGATGTCTCCCCAGAGAGCTTGTTAGGTGAGGCCAGCAGACTGCTCAGAGACTTAGTGTGGTGCTGAATAAGCTGAGAAATTCTTTGTTGTCCAGATGAGACAATGCGAGAGACTTTCCCATGTGGAAAAATATTTGTGTGCCTGTG